TTTTTTTCGTTGAGAAAAACGAAACGCTCGGCGAGAAAGAGAAGAGAGCGTGAACGAGAGCGAGTGAGAAAGAGAGAGAGAGAAAGAGAGATACGTAGGGAAGAGAATAGCGAACAAGCGTGAACAAGAGATGAACGAAGAAAAAAAAAAAAGAAAAAAAAAGTACAGTGCGAAGAATTTATGCGGCGGGCCGCCGCCGACGTGTTGTTGAGACGCCCGCCCCAACCCCTTTATGCCCCCTGTAGTACAGTCGACGCCGAGAAGTATGTATCATATCGGTGCAGGAGAGAGATAAGGCATAGAACAGAAGAGATGAAAAGACACACAAAGAAATGTAAAGCAGCGAACCGTGACGAAAAAGAGAAATACGCAACAACAACAATTTAGAGGAAGAGTTACACGGAAGAGACACACACGCTTCAATATGTAACAAAACCACGTGAAAACATGTACACACGCGTACGAACACGGAAAATGCATTAGTCAGACCGAAACGCAGAATTACAGATCGAGAAAAAGCGAATGAGAAACGATAACTACTAGCTAGCATCACACATGCGCGAGTAACACGAAAATACGAGAGAGAGAAAGAGAGAGAGAGAGAGAGAGAAATAGTGTGTGTGTGTGAGAGAGAGAGTGAAAAGTGGTAGAGCAAACGAGGAACGGCGAAGAAAGTAAAACAGAAAAAAAAAAAAAGAAAGAAAGAAAGAAAGGAGAAGAATTTGCTCGACGGGCACGCATGAAAAACCATTGTCTTGCTACTATTTTGAGCGCAGCACCGTTCGAATCCCCCTCGTTCCGCAAAACACGCAGACAAATTCAACACACGTGACACACAACCCCCGAAGAAGCTTCGTAGTGAAACCACTCTGTGTATTTATTGTACTCGAGGACAAAGTCATTCCCTGCTCCCTTTTGCTGCTGTGTATCACCACGCAACACACACACGTACACACATGCTCATACACGCGCACACGTACACATACACATACACGCGAGACACAAACATAAACGTAACCACACGCTCCCCCTCGACTCGTTTCTTCACCCTTGAATCTGTCTTGCTTCGAAACCAACACCCCCTTGTTTCCTTCCTGCAGCAGATTAGCCAATTCCCCTCAGCTTAGAGAACCAATCCAGCAACTTCTTAGCGAACAGTTGTCATCCGAGAGCCATCGTTGTTGTAGCCCTTGTCAAGTGGAAAATGTTCACGTGCGCACCGGCTACGATGTTTCCATATCTCGAGCTATTATCGACAGATCGATCAACACTTATTCTCTTCAGCGAATGCCTAGTTTGTCCAACTATAATTGTCCTATCCACTGTCGGGGAGGCACTCCCCCCTCCGAGTTTCTCTCGCAATCCCTGTCCTCAAGTCCTCAATACCCTGGATATGTCCCCGCAAGCGAACTAGCGTTGATATTCGTAATACTTGTTATGCATAAACTACACATAATGATTATTATAGTAAACGATACATAAAGTATGATATATTTCTCTATCCATTAAGAAAGCGGAGGATGCAAGCAGCTGTTGTTTCTTGGTGGAAACTTGATGTGCGTGCGTGTGTGTGTGAGAGAGAGAAACAGAAAGAGAGAGAGAGAGAGAGAGAGAGAGAGTGCGAGTAACAGAGAGATAAACAGTGCAAGGCAGAGCGCAAAACAGCAAAGATATAGGGATGAAGAGAAAAAAACGTAAAAAAAAAATCATAATAATAATAATAAATGATAATATTGAATGGTGGAATGAATAAGAAATAAGGAATAAGAAAATAAGAAAACATTGTACGGAAAAAATAACGAACATACCGAAAGTGTACTGTATTACAATTGCAAGAATACAAACGCAGCCCCGCATATTGCCCAGTGAGCACGTCG